CCTGGGTCCAGGGGCCTGGGTCTGGGGCTGAGCCCCCAGCAGCCCGGGTTGGCCAGGTCCTGGGCGAGGATTAGGGTTAAAGAACGACATTCCTACGTCTACGAGCTGGGACAATGCAGGCGTGCTGAGCCCCAGGGAAATTTTCATTCCCGAATGTTTTCATCGTACTGACTCTGAATTCCCATTTCTTCACTCAAGAACAGCATGTTTTCTTCCTTTCGGTCCCTGGCCAGTGCGCTGTGACAGCGTTGACGGCCCCAGCTGTGGACAGGTGTGCTTCAAGTCTTCAAGCCACTGGCCACGCAAAGCCTCAACAAGAGGCCAGTGAATTGCAAAATATAAAGCAAATTAAAAAGTAACAACATCCACTAAAACCCCAGGCTTCAAAGGAAGAGGGGAAAAAGTCATCGAGAATAAACAACGTAAGGGTCCCCGGAGCCCCCAACGCCCCGCGCAGAGAAGCGTTTCCTCGGAACGAGGCTGAGCTGGGCAAACCCAGTCCTACCAGCCTTGACCATCTTGCAGCTGGTCCCCAGGGAGCGGGGACCCCCGCCTCACCCTCTCCCACCCTCAAGCAGACGGCACGTTCTCTGATCTGAGCCGGGCTCGTCCTGGGAGGATTCACCTCCACAGCAGTGACACTACGTGGCGTTACACCTGCGAACAGCCCGCCCCGCAAACTCGCTTTCTGAGCCTCTGAGCATGACCGTGATTTATCCCTCAGAGCTGCCACCTCAGAGGTGGAATCCCTTGCGAAGGGGCCGGGCCCTTTCCTGTCCTGACTCTACGCCAAATTAATATTGGCAGAAATATCACTGAGCTCACCATCCTCGGATACAGCCAACGGATACTGCTGATGAGTATGCACTAGATTGAAAAAGAGAGACTCAGTGACAAAAAATAGGCATGGGAAAGTCTCCAGCTGAGAGGGGCCCCCTATGACGACGCGTGTGTAAGTGCGGATGGCGCATGGGAGGTTGGTGGGCACACGGATGGGTTGAGGAACACGCTTCCTGGCCAAAGCTGCCCGAGTCGCAGGCGAGCGGAGGGGGAACAGAAGAGAAATGAGCGCGGCTGTGGTCGGAGGAGATGAAGGATGCTGACGAACAGCCATCCTCTGGACCACTCCGGGCTGTCTGGCGTGGCCACGAGCAACACACATGAGCAGCGTCCAGGCACGGGAAACAAACAGCAACACGACCTCACAAGAATCTCGAATTAAGATGACATGTCAGAGTCGGAAAGGACAAATATAAGATGAGTGTAATTCCAGATACTGTGAAACCAGATGGCAGGTTCTGACTGGTGGCCAAATGTGAATGGTCCAACTCGTAACGTCTTAAGCATCTCAAAAGTGACACAGGGCTCGCTTCCATTCCCTGTGGGCAGAGTGTTGAGTTCTCAACTGCTCTGTAACTAGGAAAGTCTCCAACTCGAAGTCACGCGTCGTACGTCATCAGTGTACCCTGACACATGACGAGGGTCTTCTGTACCCTCCAGAGAGAACTCAGCAAACCACTGTTCTCCCTTATCTCTGCCGCCCAGGCAGCTTCAAGCCTGTGGCCTCTAGAAAGCTCCTGGTTTTCTCGATGGCTTTCCGTGTTCTCCTCCATGTTCACGGTCTGTGAGTCCTGGCTCGTCAGACATGCCAAGTCCTGTAGGAAAGGGTACCGGATCTAAACCGCAAATCTCCTGTAGGCCCCAGCGTAATGCGGAAGAAACCTAAGAGTCTGAGACGCAAAAGTCGACGCCCACAGAGACCAGTGCTTGCAAATGATTGATCAGCACAGTGGCCAACGGTGACAGCTCAGAGGGAGGGACGATGTCGGTTTCACTTATTTTCATCCTGACCGGGGACAGAAACAATGAGGCCGGTGAGCATCTGCATCTGGGTAGCTGAACGTTTTATAATTCCGCTTCGAGTCTGGAGAGTTGACAGGTCGGGAGGGTCTCGCTCCGGAGCAGGCAGTCATCGGAATTAGTCTAATTCTGAAACTCTGAGAACCACACGCAGTGCAGCCCCGGCGCACACTGTCGGGACGCCTTTCTCCCACGAAATGAGGGCAGTTCACACTGACGCTCTCTTCAAGGTGAGAAGCGCTTCCGTCCTGAGACTCATTTCCCACGGGCCCTCCTGTGCCTTCCCGGTCCAGCCAGGGGTTAGCAGTGTCCCAACACCCTACTGAGATGACTTCAAGCCCTAAGACGAGAAGACGGACACAGAAACTCAACCAAGGGGTCACGCTCCTGTCCTGAACCGGAAAGAACGGGGTGGCAGCCACAGCACAGCTGCTCCTCGGCACGGCACGCGCACCACAAGGCACCACTCGGAACGCGAGCTCGCTGAGTGTGAGGACGCACGCCAGCCCTCATGTGCTCACAGCAGGTCTAGGCTTCCCGTACGACCTGAGATCTGACACGGAAACAGTGCCCGCCTCCCTCCGGGAAGGTCAGAGCATCCGGATGCCAAGGCGCACGCGCACGTGACAAGCTCCGCACTGTGCTGATCTGAAATGTCACCTCGCCATCTGGCGCCGTCGCATCCCGGAGGAGAGCCAATGTCGGTCCATCGCCAGTCAGTCACTCTCTTGAAAGAGCAGCCCAGTGACCGGTGTCCTCTGTGATGTTTCTTACACGCTGGAAGTGGGATTCTTGATTCACAAGGTGTTGCAGGCAAACTAACGGCGCCGTCTCTGATTACATTTTACGTCCCGTGGACGGAGGGAGGAGGAACGCTACCGCTGCTTTGCAGACTAAGCTGAGCACAGGTGGATTTAAGAGACCGCAGAGGCTGATTTCGTCCGTTTCCAAGCCGAGGGCGGTATAACTACAGGTCAAGCTGAGCCGTGAACACTGAAATACAGGCTCTGGACGCTCTGGGAATCACTGCGGAGGCAAGGAGGTCTGTGAGGCGTGCCAGGGACGGCGGGCAGGGACGGCGGGCCGCTCACCGGACAGCAGGCTATTAAGGCACAGGCATAAAAAGGCAAATCGATAGTGACAGAGAAAGTATTCTACAACATCGACGCCGTCTCCAAAGGAAATTATTTTATTTCATTAGTAGGATCTTGACCCTGTGCAAAGTCACGGCGGCCCTCCAGGGAGCTCAGTGATGAATGGCACGCTGCTGACGACCGAGACAGCTACGGAGGGACATTCTGACTTCATGCGGAAAACTCACTCAGGAGAGTAGTAAATCTTGTGAAAAGTGCTCTAAGGATAGGAATATCTCACACACACACACACACACCCATTCTCTCTGGGAAATACTGAGTCATGCTCAAGACCCAAGGGCAAGGGAGCAGGTGGTCAGGGCGTGGGCTCTCAGCGGATGGCCCATGGGAAATACTGGCCCCACCCCCTCCCAGCTGCATGTCTCTGGCAAGTTACCAAACCTTTACGCCTCTGTTTCCCCATCTGTGAAATGGCTGTCAAAACAGCCGTCTCCGGGTGCTGCTGAGGGCATTCCAGACACGACTGCAGGCTGTGACCCAGCGGCACGGCCTGGCCCAGGAGAGCGTGCCGCACCGGGGTGCCGCCTCCACCCCAGGACGCGGGGCCTCGCCGAGAGCCGGTGCGGCAATGGAGACGTGAGACAAACGCATTGCTCGGGAGCCTGCGTGGTTCAGAGCGTTGTCCTGATACACAAAGGCTGGGGTGCGATCTCCAGTCGGGGCCCATACAAGAATCAAACAATGAATGCTGAATAAGAGGAACAAATCAATGTCTCTCTTTCTCTCTCTCTCAAATCAATTAAAAAAACAATAACAGCGAAACAGACATGCGACCCAGCATACAGCTGGGCATTTGTGCCAGAGAAATGAAGACACGTTCTCAGAAAAACCTGTACTCAAAGCTTCACAGCCGCTTTATCTGAATAGCCCCAAACCGGACAGTGCGGATGTCCTTCCACAGGACGACAGTTAAACCACCTGTGGCACGTCCACACCACGGGATCCTACTCGGAAATGTCGGGGACAAGCCTTCAACGCGACCATCTCACTGACTCTCCAGGGAATTCTGCAGCGTGAGAAAAGCCCACCATCCCCACAGGTCACATACCTCCTGATGTAACATTTTCAAATGGCAACATGGTTGAAACAAAGAAGAAATGAGTGTTTGCCAGGGATTGGGGAGGGTGAGGCGGAAGGGGGAGGGGGGCATGTTATCAATGGGCCACGGGGGACCCCTGTGGTGAGGGTCTTCACTGTGATGGAGTCAAGAATAGACACCACGTACAAGTACCAGTCAAACTGGGAAAATGTGAGTCCTATCCATGGATGGTATCAGGGTCCCTTCTCTGGTTGTGCTCGGTGCTACAGTTTTGCAAAGTGTTTACCATTGAGGGAATCTGGATAAACCATGCACAATCTCTCCCCGTGTGACTCCTTACAGCCGCACAGACGATGAATCCCCAGGGATCTCCATGACAATTGCAATAAGAAGGAAAAAATGGAGCAAACAGCAATATCTTCGAGAAATCACATGTGATTGAGACCCCAGTGATCATTGCTGGGGCTTACAGAAATTAAAACAACCCAAGGGCTGGAAAATGAACCAACAGCCCTCACAGGGAGATGACAAGCACAAGTTTAATATTTAATAAGCATGAAAAACAATGCTCATGAGTTTTCTGAAGCCGAAATATGTGGAATGCAAACACCTCTCCAAAACCTAGCACAGAGCTGAGCACCGCTCTGGCTACGAAGCACAGTGGTTCAAATCAGGTGGCAACTGTGGCAACAGCGCCTGTCTGCTCGTGACAAGGCTGAGGGCGGCTTGTGTTCAGGTCTGCTTTTCTCCGAAGCAGCAGAACCCGAGTTCCCAGAGCCAGAGCCCCGTCTTGGCATAAGGGAGTCACCTACTATCCAGGTCCATTTCTCCAAGTAAGTATCTGCATCACGGAAGGTGCAGACCTGTACTCTGGGGAGAGTCGCTGGTAACCAGGCAACACCACCACGCCCCCCTGTTGCCAGGAGAGAGCTGCCCCCAGTACTCACTTGTTCTGCATCATGTTCATGATCACCCAGTCGAAAGGGTAGACGTTCTTTCCAATGAGGTTCTTAAACATAATGAATGTTTCCATCAGGAAATCCTGCAATGAAACCAAAACATTGAAACGGCCCACAAACAACAAGGTGAAAACCGGTCCCCCACCCCCACCCCCACCCCCCAGCCCTTCAATAATTAGCCGAATGCAAACTTTCTGCAAAGTAATGAAGATGTATTTCCCAGGCGCTGTGTAGTCCTTCTGCCTTTCTGTGTGCCTGAGCACCTCGTATCGGGAAAACGTTCCCAAGGAGATGCTCGAAAGTAGTCCCTGGGCATGACTTTCTAATAGTCACAAAGAGTTAAGTCCTCAAAGACCGCAAGTATAAATGGACTTGTGCTCTTTCTGCTAATAGAAAAACATGCTTTTTACAAATATAACATGAACGTGATGATTATGAATAGTTGTGTTTACTCTAAATGTATTTTTCATGATCAGAGGCCCTATCCAGTTGAATATGGGATTTTATTATCCATTCCTTTTTCTTATATAATTTAGCAAATAAAGGGCTCGAAGGGGAACTCCCGACCACCTGCACATGCTCAGCTCCCAGCTGAGTGGCTGTGCAGACTCTCCCGGCAGCGACATCCCCATGAGCTCCTCAGCGGCGCCCCGGTGGCTTGCTGACGCCCGCGGTCGCCCTCCACTGTCCCGTCAGGAGCACGCTAGGACTGAGCCAGGCCTCAGGACGGGGTGCCCACTTCCTAGGGGCTCCGCCCTGTGCCTGTCAGATCACTGGCAGCCCAGCACTCGTCCTGAACTAACCGGAACAAAACGGGGGTTACCCTGAAAAGCACGCGGCCCGGGAGCTCATACGCTGCCTCGAGGTCTGGGGGTGAAGGGGGAGAAGCCCCGAGTGCACGGAACCGTGAGGCCACGGGCACGGGTGGCCAAACACGTGCACATGTTTCACGCACGTAGTCTACGGAATCATAGGGTGCGGGGGCTAAAGACCGGGGTGGTGAGCCAGGAGCCAGGAGAGCAATTCCCAGCACACAGCTCCAGGAACTTCTGGCAAAGAGGCACAGCTAGGACGCTTTCTCTGCAGCCGTGATCCCAACGCCAGGCCCCTCCCGGGAATAAAAACTCAGGGAGCGCCCTGGCCGGTTTGGCTCAGCGGTTGGAGCGTCGGCCCGCAGACCAGAGAGTCCCGGGTTCAGTTCCCGTTAAGGGCACGTACCTCGGTTGCAGTTTGTCCTCAGCCCCTTGGGGCTGTGAAATGGCAACCACTTGATGTGTGTCTCTCACATCGATGTTTCTCTCTCTCTCTTCCTCCCTCTCTCCCTCCCGCTCTATCTGAAGATAAATGCAAAATTGTCCTCGGGTGAGGATAAAAAAAAAAAAACTCAGGGAGCAACTGTGATCACCCTTTTTACAAGAGGCCACGGGTCTAGTGGGCCTCAGGGACTGGAGCCAAGTCAGGAGGGCACAGTGAACCCACCACCCTACACACGTGGCTCCCGCAAGCCCTGACCCCCAGACCTTCCAGCAGGAGCGTCCGGGTGCCCCCGGCACAGCGAACTGCTCCTCCCCCCGGTTTAAATATCCAAATGCATATTTCACCACTTAAGTTCCCCACTTTGTCAAGAGTTTCACGTTTTAATGACCAGTTTGCAGATTCTGCAGGCCGAGTGCTGTAATTTAGCCACATCTCGATTTGCATGAAATTGCCGGCTTTCTTGCTGATCACTCCTCAAAGCCTAATAATTGAGATAGAGGGTCTGGTTTTTATCATTCTGAAAGAGAAGCCTATTTCCCTAGCTCTCTTTTTTTCCCTCCCTAGGAAACACAGCCCTGCACTTCATTAGCATGCTCGGCTGGAGGGCGAGGGTACTTTGCTGATCCGAGGGAATGCGGCCTCTTCTGGGGGTGACGTTTCAGGCCTCCCCGCGGGGCCGCCTAACTGACCAGCGTGGCCACGTCCCCACCGCCGCGTTCGCCCAGAACAGCGGGTGCGGCTTCACAGACCGCGACACTGGCATTTCCAAATCAACAAAGGGGCATGGAGGGCTCACGTGAGAGGTTTTTTAACATGTTTTTAGTGATTTTTTGAGAGTGAGAGAGGAAGGGAGAGATAGAAACATCCATGTGTGAGAGACATCGACTGGCTGCCTCCTGCACGCCCCCTACTGGGGATCAAACCTGCCACCTGGGCATGTGCCCCGACTGGGAATCTGACCAGGAATCTGACCAGGACCTCTCAGTCTCTGAAATGACGCTCCGTTCACTGAGCCACACCGGCCGGGCACTGCTGTGTTTCGTAGTTTGGCAGTTGAGAGTATGTCCCACACCCTGAGTGGGCAGTGGGGACATGGCCACGCTGGTCAGTGTAGCCTACGGCAAAGTCTTCTTGTCATAAACCACCTGCTGTCCATCCCTCTGCCCTCACCTTCACTGCTGGAGGGGAACCCTAGCCCATCTCCCTCGTCCACCCTGTCCCCCTTGGTCCGTACATGTCCTCCAGAGTGATCTTTACAGGCAGTAAATCGCTCAAGGCGGCCACACTTCCCCCATCTCCCACTCCACCCACGTCCCCCGTGGCTTCCCGATGTTCTTCAAAACAAAGCATCTTGACCCTGAGAAGCAGAAACACACCACCACTCTGCCAAAGAAATAACTGTTTCAGACGAGGGCCCTCAAAAGACGCCAAGTTCCTCAGACGAAGTACTGTCGGGGGTAGAATAACTGCTGACTTTCTGTGGATGTCAAAGTGTCACCCAAAGAGGACAGGACAATGGCAGGGGGGCGTACATCTCCACCACGGGGAGACCTGGCAGGCACCCCTTTTAACCAGGGATCAAACGTATCCTCAGCGTGGTGGTCGGCTGGCTGCGTTCAGCTCTCAGGGCACACAGCAGGGAAGAAATCCTGCAGAAGGACACGCCTGAATTCTAGACACAGCTTCCTGTTGGCAGGACAGGTGGAGGCAGAGAGGAACAAGCTCAAAGGTACGACGAGGTAGCACCCAAACTCTGAAGAATGGGGGGCAGTCTGTAACATGATCGGCATGGTGTCTTCCAAAAATGTGAAAAGCAACGTCTTGAAAAGAAGAAAAAGCCAGGTGACGGGTTGGTCTAGAAAGGAGAGGAGAGACACACCAGCAGCGGAGTGTCTGGCTCTGCACTGGGTTCTGCTTTGAGGACGCCCCCAAGGAAGGACAAGGCCAGCCGGGCAGCGGGGAAATTGGAATATATCTGAGACAAGGGGATGGCTGCTATGTTCTGGAAGGGCCACTGGAGAGGTCTCCGTTCTCTGCTGTTGTTAATGCTCACCCAAGGATATTCTCCCATTGATTTGTAGATAGAGAGCAAAGTAGGGAGGGATGAGGGGGAGAGAGACACATCGTTTGACTGCCTCCTGCACAACCCCGACTGGGCCTGGGGATCGGACCTGCAACCGGGGTACCGTGCCCTTGCCCGGGAATCAACCCTGATGCCAGCGCTCTGGACACTGAGCCAAACCGGCCGGGCTCCGTGCTCGAGAGCAGTTGGTCGAAGCGCTTAGGGGACAGGCAGAGAGCTCACATCCGCAAGGGATCCGGCTGCTAAGACAGAAACGCACAGAGGCGGCAAAGGGGCGAAGCGCTCACCATCGATGAACTCGGGGGATGGGAATGACCGCCTCCCTCGCACGCTCTTCCCGCTGCTCTCGGGCTGGCCACGCTCACGGCCGAGCCGCGGGGAGGGAAGGCACGGGAAACGGGAGAAGGGGGTGAGATCTGGCGAAGTGGGCGCTGTGGCTTCCACAGCCAAAGAGCTGACCGTGTGCCCCAGTCTGGCCGGACGTGACTGTCAGGAGACGGGCAAAGGCTGCAGGGACCTCTCTGCCTTAGTTTTCCCAACTGCACGGGACTCTACATTTATCTCCAAATAAGGCGTTTCCTCAAAGAATAAATGCTTTAAAAATAATTTTAAAGCAATGAAAAGAAAAAGAGCGAGCAGCCGGTTTGGCTCAGCGGTTCGAGTGTTGGCCCTGGACCAATGAATCGCAGGTTCGATTCCGGTCAAGGGCATGGACCTCGGTTGCGGTTCGTCCCTGGTCCTGGTTGGGGTCATACAGGAGGCAGCCACTCGATGTGTCCCTTTCACGTCGAAGTTGCTCTCTCTCTCCCGCCCCCCTCTGTCTGAACAAAAATAGAGAAAAAACTCGGGTGTGGATAAAAAAAAAAAGAGTGAATAAATGACATGGAAAGTTGAGAACAAACAAGCGAGGTGTGCACACTTCTCGGCCCATCCGCGGGCTCGGGGCCTCGCGCCCCAGTTCTTCTCCAGGCTCATCGGACCCTGGTTCACGTGCTGCCCCGTCCCTGCATGGTCCTTCCTCCTCGTCCTCAACATCCCACAATCGTCTCCTTCGCCAAGGCTCCCTGGCCACCGGCCTCAGGCGGTCTGGCTACTGTACGAGGACCCTTCCCCTGTAGCATGGGTCCTTCGGGTCCTTGGAAGGACGCCCTGTATCGCCAGTCTAGTCTGGACCGGACCGCAGGGCCAGAAGAACAGGACTTGCCTGCTTCGCCCCCTGCCCCCCGCCATCCCTTCCACTGCGCTAGCCGTCACGTCGGGGTTCGGTAGTGAACTCACTGTCGAAGGCTTCTCAGCCCCAGACGCCCTGCCCAGTGGAGAGAGCCTTCATGAAAGCGTCACTTACAAGGAAATGGTTGCGAGGAACAAGGAACTGATGTTCAGCCCAAGGATCCTCACAGGCTTGCTTTGGTGGCTGTTCCGCGTGGAACTCGGGGTCTCTAAGGCCTGGAACCCCCAGCGGCAGAGTGTCTCCTGGGCAAGGACAGTCACCTGCCGGACATTCCCACGCGTATTCTCATACCCACTTCCCCGGGGTGAGCGTCCCCTGGGACCAGCCCGTGTAGGCGGATGTCGGCTGTGCTCGGCTGGGATGGGCAAGGTGAGGAGGCAGGTATCTACCTGGCGAGACCAGGGCAGGCGCAGGGAGGGGTCCTCGTAAGAGGTGGGGCGGACTGCATGAAGGCAGGAGGGCGTTTCAGAGAGCAGGACCTCAGAGTTCCCCAGTTGCCCTGGATAACCACAGTGGATGGAACAGGGGGAGGTGGGCGGCACGCGGACCTGTGGCCACCCATGAGTCCCGCGGGAGGAGGCAGGGACAGCAGCACCCAGGCCCTGGGAACCTCCCACTGTCCTTTATCCCTGTGCTCATTTCTCCGCCAGGAGCTACTCTACCTACAGCGCCCTGCGCGTGTCACTCAGCAGGCATTTCGAAGGCCACTCAGTGGGGACCTGGGACACATGGTAAATCAACTCTCTGCCCTGGAAGGTCCAGAGACGTCCGCATCACCGCTGTCTCGCTGGAGAGTCTGAACGAGTTCCCTGCTCCTGCTCCTGAGTCTGAGACCTGGACACACGATGCTGCACCCTTCCCACAGATGAGCATCTCCACGGCAGAGAACGTCGAGACGGCCCCTCGCCCTAACGGGTCGCCTCTGTCGTGAGAGAGTTTCAAGCTGAAAGTGTCCGATCGTTTTCTTCTCGGGACCGGTCTTCCTGCCTCGCGCTGGGCCCCGTCCTCTGTCCTGGGGCCCACGGGGTGTTTTCAGAGACCCAACCTCAGAGCTCTGTGGCAGATGAGCTGGGTACTGACAATAACTGCCTCTTTTGTATGGGGATGACGCCTCCAACCCAAAGGGCTGAGTCTGGAAATCGGAAGTAGCGCTTGTTACAAGGAAGCAGTCTGGAGAACACGGTCTGGCTTTTTTCATCCTGCGATATCGACTCCCAATTCTTTTCCACAGGCGAATCTTTCATTTTGGGGAGAGGCTGTCAGCGTAGGAAAAAAAAAAACACTCCCCATGTATGGTTCATGGAAGGGAACCCATCTTACCGAGGTCCTGGCCGAGGAACAGCAACAAAAACAGTTTGCAACCCTCCAGGCACGGACGCGTGACATCCACACCCCACGTGCCATTTGATAACGGAAACCAAATCCCAGCACATAATTGATTTTCTGAGCTGCCGTGTCCCCGGGAAACGAGCCCCTGGGAAGCCAGGGCGACGGCGCGTAGGAAGCGTCTGCGCACCTGCTCTGCGCTCGGGGAGCACAGGGACCCCAGCTGCAGGCGCGTCTGAGCGCCGCTCCGCAGAGGCCCCCGCGCAGCGCGACTCCGGCTCAGCACCGCAGACTGCAGAGCAGACACTGCTGCCCCGTGCGGGTGGGTGTGGATGGTGTGAGTGTTCCGGTAAAGGGTAAACTACTCGCTGGAATCCTGCGTTTCCAGGACGGGCGATGCTGCTCCTCCCGCCAACTTCGTCCCCCGGCCTGGAACAGTCTCCGGGACTTGTTCAGAGGCTCAGCTACAGCTCTCCGTCCGGGGTCCCACACAAGGCTGGGGGGTCCGGTTACAGGCAATGGTGGCTTTCAAGGGCACACGTATCTAAGTGATTTCAATGGGCCGTGATGGCTAAAGGACCGTAGATGTCAATACGTATTACATCTATGGGAATAGCCCTGCTTGAAAGGGCTCGTTCATGTTTTCAAAAACACCAAAACCAACACAAATACATAAACATATACTCATGCTTGTCCCTTGACTTTTATGTAAGAACAAATTCTATCATTTTAATGTAGAGACCCATTTTGGTTCCCGTTAGAAATGTAAATATAAATCTCTCTCACACACGTGCACACATACAGGGGCAACAACTCACAGGGTGACTTTGGACCTGGCCAGTTTGGCTCAGCGGTTAGAGTGTTGGCTCGCGGATCAGAGGGACCCGGGTTCGGTTCCCGCCAAGGGCACGTACTTCGGTTGCAGTTTGTCCCCGGCCCCGGTTGGGGTTGTGTGGGTGGCAACCAATCAATGTGTCTCTCTCTCTCTCTCTCTCTTCCTCCCTCTTTCCCTCCTGCTCTATCTGAGGATAAATGCAAAAATGTCCTTGGGTGAGGATAAAAATAAAATAAAATAGGGTAACTTTTTATCTTAGAAATAATCCTTTGGGGAAAAAAAACATGAAATGAAGACTCTTCTTCCCAGCCCTTAAAAAGATCAATGGAAAGGGCAACCAACCCTGTACTGTAAACATTGGTAGCCTTTCCTGTATTCGAGCGGAATCTGGGGGCCTCAGACATGGGGCCCCTGCCACCAGACACCGGACGTCAGGTCCCCATCAAATCAGAACCTCTGCCGACAAGTCTGGCTGCAGCTCTGCGGAGGGCTCTGGCCGTGTGGCCAGGTCAGGCCGAGTCATGATGGAGGGGGCTCCTAAGCGATAAATTCCCCGCCGTCACCACGCTCTGATTTAGTTGTATTCCAGTTTTACTGAGGAAATGCTGACGAGCTTCCACGATCACAGCTAATCGATAGCAGAGTATAATTTAAGGCCGAAAAAGCACCCTGGTTTCTGCAGTTGGACGTCAATCAGCACACGGACAGGAGTCAGAGAGACTCTCCAAGGGCAACCTCTCTCCATTTCCAGGGGTCCCCAGGCCCGGGAGAGGAAGCTGGGACCAGAGCAGGAACATGGTTTCTCGGGGTTCGCACGAGAAGCCAGCCTACGCGTGAGGACCCTCCTCGGAGGGGCGTGCTACGGGGAGACCGTCCAGGTGGCTTCTTGAATCAGTTGCAGGCAAGCCCCCAGGCAAAATCACACTTCAGAGGAAAATAATGAGCCCGATGTGTTGCCTAACATGCTGGCCCCAAAACACAGGAACGAGAAAGGAGTCAAAGTTCCACTCACCACCACATCAGTCCTCATCTTCCCGAAAGTCTTGATCAAATGGGCATAATGGAAATCTTCCATCTGTCGTAAAATGGCCGTCATGCAAGCCACGAAGTTCCCCTGCAAAGGAAGCAGCAGGTCCCGTCAGGTGGGCAGAGAGCAGGACTCACAGGAGTGCGGACGTCCGCCGGCCAAGGGTCCGGGCTGGAAACCCGCAGCCAGCAGCCGAGACCTCCGCCACCCCTGGCGAGCCAGCCTAAGGTGACCAGTCACTCCAAACTCACAATCTTTGGGGTTTTTTTTTTTTGCTCTATTTACTTTTCTATAACTGCATTAAATTAAATGCTTCCTGACACGGGGTTGTCCGGGCTGGAAAAACAAGACTGAAGTATGTTTGCCTCACATACGCAGAAGTTAAAGGCAGGGCTGAAATCACCACCACTTACCGTATGCTCTGCAGGCACCTGCATTATCACCATGCAAAGCGCGTGTGAGTTCTTCCCCTTGGGCCACAGTAAAGAAAGGCCTTCTATTACTCAGAAACCTGCCTAGACCCCCTTGGCCCATTTGGAGGCAATCACCATCGACTCCACCGTGAAAGATGGCCTAATTCTCCTCCACAAGGAGAAGGTGAAGAGCATGAGCTCATCGGAATGTGAAGTGGGGAGACTGGCATTTCTCACAGCAGAGAGAGCTGGGAGGAAAGGGAGAGAAGGAGGAAAAAGGAAACTGACGAACAAAAGCAAGATGTAAAGAAGAAAGTAAGGGGCTAAAGTAGTGGGCAGACGGAGGCGGCCAGCATGTGTGTGGCTGTGGGTTTGCACGTTTTTGTGTGTGCGGGTCTGCGCATGTGTGTGGGTGTGTGTGCAGGTCTGTGCATGTGTGTACAGGTCTGTGCATGTGAGTGTTTGTGCATGTGCATATTTCTGTGTGCAGGTCTGTGCATGTGAGTGTGTATGTGTGCAGGTCTGTGCATGTGTATATTTGTGTGTGCAGGTCTCTGCACATGTGTTTCTATGTGCAATTCTGTGTACATGTGTGTGCAGGCCCATGCATGTGCCTGTGTGTGTAGGTCAGTGCATATGCATGTCTGTGCATGTGTGCGTTTGTGTGTGCACACTGAAGGGGATTTGTTTGGCAGGTGAGGTGGGCAGGCAGCCAACCAGTCCTATTGCCATTGACGGCAATGTGTCACTTCTGGGGTTCATGACTAACATCTTAAAAGCCTTCCTTGCTCTTCTACATTTTCCTCTAAACTAATGACATTTTAAGAAACACGGGACATACATTTTCTCCCATTAAGCCAGTACAAATATGGTAAAATTATAGGATGAAACATACTTTTAGATATGTCCCTAATTTTGCCCTATTAAATGAGTTCCCAAATTGCATTATTTTAACAAACTCTATTTTTATAAGCAGTATATTTGAATGCCTAAATGTCTTTGGTATTAATTTGAAATTCACTCTCTGCAGTGAGATGTTCAAGTCCAATATTGTTCCAATTCATTTTACATCTACAGTATACATATATGCTTCCAAATGAGTTCTCAAAGGGTGCATTACGTAAATTGAACAAAATACAGTAATGATAGCATGGTGTCTTCCACTTGCCCAGAAATTAAGTTATTTGTGAACGATAATAATTGCCGAGATTTAGATTCCAAGTTGGGGTTCGGGGAAAGAGCTAAATACTGCTTGTTCTGCGCTGGAGAAATGAGCTGGGACACGGCGAGCATCTATTACTGAATACGAACTTCTGAAATACATGTTTGGCGTCTGTGGAGTTCAAGAGAAGCCACCTTTCCATCTCCTTTATGCTACGAGATGCTGCCTTTTGGGTCACGGTCTCCACGACATTCCACGTTGCTCAGTGACAATGAGGCCATCAGAACCACGGCCCATCAGTCACACCACACATTCTCTTCGGGTCCCATTTTATAGGCAGTGGCACTGGGCGGAGACCTGTTCCCCTGGGAACGCGTCAATGGCTACGAGGTGGCGCTTGGCAGCTGAGCTCAATTCTCTGCCTCTTCTGTGGACGCGCATTTTAGTTCCGAGACCTGAGGGCGGTGCCGAGCAGGTAGGGATCCACACTCAGACCGGCAGAGAGAACGCCGGAAGGGAACAGGAAAGGCAAAGACCACCGCAGACCATGTCCCCTTCGGTGCCTACGGGGCCGGCCATGACCTGGCCTCCCCCCCTCCCCCAGTCCCCAACACAGAGGGGCTTTTCCAGGACGGGAAGAGGCCTGGACCACACGGTGCCCCCAGCCTGGGCTCACGCTAACTTTCTGCAGGTCACAAGAGGTAACAATGGCAACGTGCACACTAGAAACACCTAAAGCTCACCGCCAGCCATGTCTAACCAGAAGCAACACACCGAAGGGCCGACTTCAAAGTGTCAAGTTCACAGCAGAAAAGCAAGACCTCAGAGCAGCCTTGAGAAGGCCAAGGGCACGGACGCTGAGGGCGAAAAGCAACGCGTCGGGAGCCTGGCCGCCCGCACTCGAACAGGTGCGCGGCCACTCGATTCCGGGCGCGGCTGGCCATGAACGCTGACGAACTCCTACGCGCAGAGGCCGAGAGGCTGGGGGAACCGATGTGTCGCGGAAAATGAGGGACTGGAGATAACGGAGCCATTTCCATAAAGCCAAGTCCCAGGACGAGACAAACGGCCACGCGGAAGCCTTCACGGTGGATGAGGACGTCACAGAGGAGGTACCAAGTGGCTCCCTGCTGAACGACGACGGGGACTCTCTGCAGTCGTCCCGGGAGAGGACAGAGACGGGTCCCCGCATGAGTCAGAGGCTGGAAAGCCAGGCGGTGCAAACGTGTCCTTCACGTAACCGCGGGAAACGTCCCGGAGGAATGTGTGTTCAGTTTTCCTAGAAGGAGCAAAGCCCTTTTCTAACCTGAAGCTTTGGACCCCATGGGGAGAGGGGCATGTGCCTGTTAAAATGCGCAGAAATGGCCCTGGCCAGTCTGGCTCAGCGGTTAGAGCATCGGCCTGCGGACCAGAGAGACGTGGGTTTGGTTCCACTAAGGGCACGTACTTTGGTTGCAGTGTGTCCCCAGCCCCATGGGATTGTGTGTGTGGCAACCACTCGATGCGCCTCTCTCACATCGATGTTTCTTCTCTCTGTTTCTCCCTCTCTCCTTCCTGCTCTATCTGAAGATGAATGCAAAAATGTCCTCGGATGAGGATAAAAGAATGAATGAATGAATGAATGAATGAATGAATGAATAAATAAATAAATAGATAAATTTCGCAGAGATGCCCCTCCCCTTCCTCAGGAATGGAGTCTGCGAGCCCGTATTTTCAGGGGAAACTCTGTGGACACCACGAACCCACGGCAGGCTTCCGAGGGCAGGAAAGGGGGGGGTTGGGGGCCTGACCTCAGTGATAACTGGACACAAGGCAAGTCTCCCTCGAAATGGAAAAGAAAAGTTACATTCCGCAGATCTGAAAAAATGTATCTTCTGCGCTTTGGAACGGCTCTATCTGAAATGCATTTCGAAGTCAAATGCTTTGAAACAAGGGGTAGTGGGCAGCGCGGCTGGTGGTGGGCGTGCAGGACTCCCCCTGCCCCAGGGGGTGAGCAAACGTGAACAAAGACATTTTAAAAAATCAGCCCTCTTCCGTCTGACTTCAAAGCAATGCAGCACAGGGCCGGGGCAGGCAGGGTGCGGCTGCGGGAGATTTAAAATTCAGGACAGAATGCCTAATAAACATAAATTGTGAACTTCATTAGTAATCAAAGATGAAAATGATGTATCGTTATTTGCTTGCCAGAAGAGCGGAGAGTCTTTAAGTGATGAGCGTGTCAGCTAGGGTGGGGGACGAGCACTCTCAGACGCCGCTGGTGGGAGCCTAAATTGCTATAACCTTTTTAAAAAGCGATTTAGCAATAGGTTTGGAAAGTCTTGGAAAACATACTCATCTCCTCAGTAATTCCGCTGCTCACAATCCACCCAAGGCGGTCATTCAAAATGGGACGCTTTCTGCCCAGCGCTGTCCATGACATCACTGAGGACAGCTCCGTGCCCAGTGGCAAGGAGCTGGGCGAACAGAGTGAGCTTCTGCAGGCCTGCGAGATAAGGTTCCGACGGGCCATTCAACCTGAATCTCAGAGAAGCAGAGAAGAAGAAGGACGTCCCAAATATTGCATCGGAAATACTACACGGGGCACGCATCTACGGAAAACGAATGTGCTGTTTCCCTGGGGCTCAAATTGAATCGGGTGCCCTGTTTTTCATTCGCCAAATCAGGCGACCATACCATACCGATGTGATCAAATATTATGCCAACGTCAAAACATTAAACACTAACTATGCAAATACGAAGTTGTTCAGTAATGTGAGAAAACGCCGGAAGAATAAAAGTGGAGGTGAAGAAACAGCTAGAAAAAAAGACACCAGAACATTATCAGGGGTGGGAGAACGAGCCCAGATTAGGTTTATAAACCAAAAGTATGTTCCTATTTTGTAAGGTAGTCCTGAAAGAAAAGATCTCACCTGGTAGAAGGGACCAACTCTCCCTGCCCCGAGTCCCCCCGTTCCTACTTCCTTATCCTCAAAAGTCTCGTTCTCAGGACTCCCCTGTCTGTGTGGACCTGGTCACCGCTCTGCACGGCCCTGCAGGCCCTGAACTGGACTGATCTCTGAGCACACCTGGAGCTGCCCCCAGTGCTCTAGGCAGGTGGGCAGGTGGAACAGAGGACAGGTGAACAGGTACAACTGAGATCAGGTAGAATGGAGCCCGGGTAGAACCGAGTCCAGACAGAACGCTGGACAGGTGGAACCGGGAACAGACAGAATGGAGGACAGACAGAACGCTGGACAGGTGGAACCGGGAACAGGTAGGATGATGACAGACAGAACGCTGGACAGGTGGAACCGGGAACAGAAAGAATGGAGGACAGACAGAATGCTGGACAGGTGGAACAGAGAACAGGTAGGATGAAGACAGTCGGAATGCTGGACAGGTGGAACAGAGAACAGGTAGGATGAAGACAGTCGGAATGCTGGACAGGTGGAACAAGGAACAGGTAGGATGAAGACAGACAGAATGCTGGACAGGTGGAACAAGGAACAGGTAGGATGAAGACAGTCGGAATG